GATCGGCGCACAGGGTCAATGGTGCTGGGAAAAGGCCAACACAGTTGTCTATCAAATCTAAGACCATTGTCAAAAATGGTCTGATCACTTATCTCGTCAAGGTTCATTGAGGACAACATGTCACGTAGTTTCGAGATTAGACATAGGTCCCTGTTTTGGTTTCCAGTTTGGGTCATACTATTTGTGCTTTAGAGGAAGGAGAGGTTGTGTTTTTATAATAGTGAAAGCTATGAGCCTTGCCATAGTGATGGCAGAAAATGGAGGAGAAACTTCTTTATTGCATCCTTTACCACTTCATATCGTGCAGTCGCGGGGTAGGTTGATGGAATAGGGTGTGATGAACACAAGCTTCCCAGTGGCTACCTACAGTAGTTTATTGATTCTAAAGTATCGGCGTTTACCGAAGCAACATTTTGCGCAACTTTTCTCATGGGACAAATCAGTATTGCTAGTGGCAATGGCACCAACGCCACATCCAACTGATGAAATATTAATTGATACAAGCGCGTTTTAACATTTATGTTGCATGTACGTTTACCCCCGATATTATTTTTTTATTTTAGCAGGAAACATTGTCAAATTAAACTTTAAATTTTAGAGAACTAAGAGTCAAACAAAAAGAAACTGCGATAAGCTCCGAATTTTCAGCCAAAAATAAACTCCGGAAAACACCCTGCGAATTTTACGAAAAATAAACCGCAAAAACACGAAATCTTACATATAACCAATAAATAACTTTTTTCAATCAATAAAGGTAACAAAGATTTTGTTGTGGAAACTTCAAATTAAATATTACATGATAAAAATGTTATATAAATCCAGCATGGTTAGTTAGTGATGATTTTAGTTTTTTTCGTTCTTCAAATACAACGCGTTTGGGAACATAATAGTAACTGGATCACACATAAAAGATAAAAACGGACTTCTTCTGATCAAAAGAAAGATAAATTGTTGAAAATGAGGCAGTATTTCAGCGCAAAAAGCTTGTAAATTCGAAAGGCAATATCGTTTCGTTTCTCTCTCCCCACCTGTTTAATTCGAAAAAACGAAACACATAGATTTAAGTCCGGAAAACGTCATCTCCCTATACTTGTGCATTCCATCACCATGGTTAGCCTCATATTTCATGGAAGGTCCGGGTTTTATGCGACACGTAGCTTGCTTATCAGGGGCGACAGGAACTTCTATTTTTCTAATGGAGCTCCACCTACAAAAACCAAAGGGTGCACCCTGGAAAGCAATCTAAAACTGCAAAACCTTCTTGGACAACCTGTCAAGTCGATATATTTACTTCATAGTTTTTCAATAAAATACAATCTATACATTTAATAGTTTATTTTCAATAGTTTCTTAGGAGGATTTCTACTATCTTCTGATTGTTTTCCAATACGTTTTACATAGCTCATCGATAATTATACGGAAGTCCTTAATTACAGTTGCGTTTTTCTGCGACCTACACGACATTTCATGGATAAACACATGGCGTTCTTCGCCACCCAATAAAACACTATTGATAGCTTGACGATAGTTGTCTACCGATAGATGTCTTTCGATGGTAGCAAAGTAGTTAATTTTAAATGCATAAGTCTGCATTTCGAGATGTGCTCCATTACTGCTGTATTTATAGGGGGGGGGGGGGGCAATTGGGACCAGTCGAGCTGTTTAGAAAACAGCTTATTTCCCTGGTCCTCCGCAAACTTGTGTTTGTTGAAAAATATGAAAAAAATGTTATTTTTATTTATATTATTATTATATTTCACTATAAACGATTTCACGATAGTCAACTATTGATAATATGCTATCGAGTTTTACTATTGTCGTCCTTCAAAGCTACACTATCGATACCACTATCGCTAATTTTCTCACAATTCATAGTTAAACTTGGCTTGCACTCTCCATAGTATCGACAGTACAATCTATAGGATTGCAACTCAAGAAGGTGCAAGACGATGAAAAACGGTGCACTTCATGACGGCGTCTTGCGGTGCTTTGCAACCTTTGCACCGTCTTCCGGTGGAAACCTATAGACGGTGCAAAAGCTGCTACTGATACATGTACTAGTGATCACACATTAATTTATAGGCTCCAAAAAAGGAACCACAGGCTAAGCATGGAGTTTTAACAAACAAGCCTTTTCTAATGAGCCCTATCTCAACAACCGTATTTTAAGCTAAATACCCTGTATCCTGGGAAAAGTGGTGCCATTCATTGTTGTGGAAATGCTCGTGACACGTGTCGCGCGCCACTTCTGGGAAGAACATGGCGTCTGAAATCTAGCTCTGTGCTGTGCTGTGCCGCCATGATCTTCCCAAGGGCTGCATGTTGCACGTGCCTCGTGCATCGACGCACCTTGCGCAAGTTATAGAACATGAAGGGGCTTTTTTTAAGCAACTCGCTCGCGCCTCTTACTTTCATAAGGCGCGTAACAAAGTTAGTTTTTTTTTTCTTTTTTTTCAAAATAAGTTATATTTATATTAGTTTATATTAGTGCTCCTCAGAATCGGAAAGCCAAATCCTGAGGATGTTACCTATGACACATTCAAGGCTAGTAAATCACGAAACGATAGCTGTCTTTATTAAACTTGTTGAATCCGCACCTCTGCCCGCTTTGATCTGGATGCGCAACGTACCGGTGTGCGGCCGTGTATCACTACTGCGTGGTGCACGTTAAAGACCCCAGGCTAGTGGTTGTACTGCACTGGCTAAATTTCTAATCTACAGCTGGGAGACTCGTCGCCCGTTGAGGCACACCAAGTTCTATGCTGTATAAGCATACATACAACCCACTTTTTTTATTAAGCTTATACAGAGAATTCAGATCTCTCAGATAGAGAACAGTATGTTTCTTGCAATATTCCGAAATGGTGATTGCGTAAACTATATTGAATACCAATAAACCTCCGGCATAAAGTATAATTCAATGCGAAAGATCGATTTCTTTGTTTTTCCCCTTAGAGAAAAAGGGAAAAACAAAGAAGACGAGGTGCACACTTTAATTTCTAGCCTTAAAAATATCTTATCCTTTTGTATACTCTGACGTAGGTCGGTACAGTGGTCTGTTGGACCCCAAGATAAGTGTAGGTGCCACTAACGGTCACATTATTAACGGACACGAAAATTGTCATCGATTGTCTTGCCCTACACAACCAACAAATGTCAGAACTGCATTTTGTGCTAGCTGTGTGCAAAATGTCTAGATGCAATGGAATGAAAATTAATGGTGCAGCAACATCCGAGCTCTGCGTTGAGTTTTTGTTAGTATCAAACTGTCTTGGACGTAGTCTTACAGAATGCGATCGCCCTAAAAATATTTCTTTGCCGGTTATGAATTCCTCTTCTCAGGAAAAAACTTGCTGAAATAATTCAGAACGTAGCAGTTTTTTCGGGTTTTTTTTTTGCTTGTAATGCAAGATTTACCCTGTTTCCACCAAAGTACAAGCGACTTAGCCTCTTTGCTAGGAAGGGCAACAAATAACAGTAATGGTGTGATGAAAAATAAATTTAATGCAAATTTAGAACTAAAAATGAACTTTTAGTGACTGACCTAATTAATTTAACTAAACAAAAGGGTGACTGCGTTGGCGACAAAAGTGTGACTGCCCCGAAACAGTGATTTTACACACGCGGTACGTTCAGGAATCTCCTGAATCAGGACATACGACTGCCGAGAATTGACGAACCCCGTTCCTCTGTGAGGAAGCTGGGTGCGCTTCCAACTGCGCAATTCACGCGTCAAGAGGGCAGCTCACTCAGCTGTATCCCAAGAGTGTTAGCAATAGTATTTCTTGCGTTTGTGTATTAGTATGAGACGCCTTTTGCTCATAAAATAACAAGGCAAGCGTGCATGCCTTCACGCAGATTGTGCTTGAACTAGCTGTTCATAGTGCGGAGGCCGGGTTTCTAGTTAATAGACAGGATTCTATGGGGGCGGGTTAGTCACACAAATCTGTTTATTTAGATGGCGTAGTGTTCATACTAAAGGAAGTTATACTAACCAAAAATCATAATGCAATTTTTCAGCAACTCCGCGCGTATGCTATGAAACATTGTCCTAAGAAATAAGCTAAGACATTACGGCGTTTTGTGTGTATTCCAAAAAACAACGAAATAATAAAATAAGCTCGTTGGAAGTCGAAAAAAAAAACATATCCCGGAATCCTTGGATTGTCTTTGAAATCATCTATGCTACGAGTGCCACAAGGGAGCATTCACAAGTAAACGTAGAATATCGTCAATACATAGACAATATCAATGCAATGAAGTGACTATGCCTGGGTGTTCATAGTGTGATTGTAGAGAATAGTGAGATGATTGCAGATAAAAAAAAATGTATTCAGAAGAAACTACTATGACTAAAGTATCGCAGTTAGAGTGTGGAGTAATAAAATGGTAAGCAAAAATCTTTTAAGACATTTATGGTGACGTAACTTAACACTAATTATATTGAAGTTTTAGCTGCTAATTAATTGTATCCATCTTTGATTCCAGCGAACGGTAAGCAAATAAAGGTTAAATAAAAATATTTTCAACGAACAGTGGGATTGATTTGATGGAGATGTGTTAACACTGGTTCTTTCTCACCTCCGTTTTACTCTTTTTTTACTAGTTTCGCACCACTTGCCGTTCATTTAACACTACTTTCCTGTCGCTGATTACCCCTTTTCATTTGTTTATGACCTTTCTTTTCTTTTTTTTTTTCACCGCCTTTGTCACTCGTGAAAAAACCACATCAATCGCCGGAGCGGCAACTGATCTGGGCCGCGGTGCGGCGCCTGCTCGTTTCTGGTTCCGTGCCGGCTGTGCGACGCTCGTATTGGCCCGAAGCGTGGATGTCAGCACGTGTCACCTCCTCACTCTCTCCTCGCCCCCGTGGTGAGACATTAAATGCCTAAACACGATACCCCCTCCACCCCACTCTCCTCGCCACGTCATGCACAGCACTGACAAACGGACAGACGGAGCGACCCCTGTCGGTTTTCGTGAGAACAAGAGTTTTCATGCTAACCTATTAAGAAGAATGTATACTTTACCTTGCCCACCCCACAGGGAAATTGGTTTGGAGCTTGAGCTATTTTATAGAGTAGAGTCCCATTTTCATTTTTACGTACGCAGCAGATTTCGCATTTTGATAGTGCGGGACCTGCCTAGAGTTCAATAAAGGTACATAAAAAGAAAAGCGCGGAGTTAAGCAAACTTGGTTATAGGTATATGGTCATGTTAATAAACAAATTATACACGTAAGCTCATGAGAAGCCTTTAATAAATCTAACACTACTTTAACATGTTTTTAAACTTACAATTCCAATCCAATTTCCAGCCAGTCCCTTATTTGAATATGAGGCGTTGCAATACAGTCCAAGGGCATTTTGTAACGTGCGAATATTATCAGTGCTTGGAAAGCTTTCAAGATTTACACGTACGCAACCTTCCGGCAATGTTTCGTGTTCTGAAAATAAATTCGATATATTTTTTTTTGTGCACTGAAACTTTCAAAAATATCCTCCTCACGAAAGCAGCCAAAGTTAGGTGGAGCGAACGTTCGTCTGCTTCTTTTACAGGGGTTGTGGTGACGTCAGAACGCCAAGCTCTGATTGGCTCCGATTGAACGATAGGGGGTAGACTTCCACACCTAAAATGACTTTGGATCAAGAAATGGAATTAATTATAATTAATTCCATTTGTTGATCCGAAGTCAGTTTAGTTGTTTGCATGAGAGAGAGGGTTTCCGATGGTCGATGCCTGATTCATTTTTGCATTTGGTCGTGATCGTCTGCTAGTCTAACTAAAATTCAACAAGTAATGTGTTAATATTACAAAACGATTGCCACAACAAAATGTAAAGAGTATAAATATATATTTTTATCTCATTCCATGCAAGTAAAAGTATGATCTCTTTTAGTTCAGTTTTACTACTTTCTCAGACGTTTGACCTGCTGCCTTGCCTGTAGGATTTCGCTCAATCAATGTATCCACAGCTGCTAGTCTTTTTTTTTTGCTTGTTTTATTTTATTGTTTTTTAAATTGCTACAACTGCAGTTTTTATTAGTCCTAAATAGGCGTCTCTTGTTATTGAAAGGAATCGTAGCAAGAGCGTTATTTGAAAAGAGATAAAATTGTAAACGCTAAGGAAAGGGTGTTTGTTTCGGCTCCGCTTGTGTGAAAGCCATACTGATGCTATTAGCTTGGTTTCCTTTTAATGAACATTACGAAATGATTGCATTAGCGCGTTAACTTGCGTTGATCTTTTTTTTCTTCTTCCCGGTGTTTCGATTGAACAGGTGGGACTAACAGTAAAAGCGTGTAAGGCGCAGTAGTGCAAGTGGATGATTTCCAAAAAAGGATCACAGTTCAAAAGTAAGACACGCGCAAAATACAAAAAAAAAAAAGAAAAAAGAAAAAGAAGTTTTTAGCGCGATTTGAACCCGGAACTTTCACGCCGCGACGACAAGTACCGGCGCTTTAATTCCTCTCGACCACAACAGAAGGCGCGAGGCGCGGCGACGGCGGAGGTATGTAAAAATGCTGCTACCGCTTTTATCTCGTGTGGTTTTTTCTTTATTTTGGCTCCTATTTACCCTCCCTGGCCGTAACTTTACCTTCCGCTCCTACAGTATAAAGGGGCGGTCAATTAGATTCCAGTTGAAAGTCCCTCCAATCAGTTTCTGCGAGCGAAATAAGGCTTTTGTGCTTGAAGCGATGCGGATCTTTCCGCCATTAGGCAGGGACGCTAGGTACTTCCTTGTCCCCATGGAGCTGGTCACGTGACGTAAAAATCCCTCCTGGCCGCGGCCGCGTCCGCAGCCGCAAGATGAGCAAACCGGCCCAGGAGACGTGGAAACCTCAAAAAAGGTGGACGCTTAAATATGATTGCAGGGCCCCTTTAAGCTGAGACTAGAAGCTCCGCCTTCAGCGCGAGCTCGCTGGCTTCTGCGGTGGTTTGGTTGCTCGATCCTGCGGGTTCACGCTTGCGTTTGCAAGGGCAGGAAGCAGGCGCTCAAGGCGGAGCTTTTTGACTCAGGTGTTCCTCTCGCGAAGTACGGTATGCGTCCGGTGCGTCTTGTTCCGGCACCCAAGCATCAAGGATAATCCAGGGATCGGTGTTCCACACGCCGCACGTGCTGGCCTCAGAAGTAGTAAATTTTCTAATGCAAATGCCTAAAACAAATTGTATCTGGCACGCGCGTTCGTCAACGCTTTATTTTGGTGTTTTGCTTCGAATCTTTTACACGGGGAAGGCGTGCGCGTGTGGCGCATGGAACACCAATCCCTGCATTCTCCTTGATGCTTGGGTAATATAGCAATAGGTCTATTCCACCACCGTCTATTGTCATCCGCGACACCCTTAAAGGGGCGTCCAAACAGGATGCTACAAAACGCATGACTCCGACAAATCGTGCGGTGCTCCGCTTCCGCCAGTTTTCTTTGCCGGGGGAAACTTCCCTCGTCAAATCTCTCCCTCGCTTCCTTTACGGTGGCCTTGTTCTGCTCATCACGCGGGTGCGGAGAGCCACTCACACGTTCACACGCACAGCACATCGAGGGCGAGATTTTACGGGGAGAAATTTTCCCCCGGCAAAAAGAACGGCCGGAAGCGGAGTGCCGAACGATTTGTCGGAGTCGTGTGGCCTGACGATCTTTGTAGTGTCCTGCTTGGACACCTCTCAAGACTCGGCCTTGAAAACGGCGCGTCGGCGTCCGTTACCGCCTGCAGCTATCAGCTATGCCACTTTTGTCTAAAAACGTCTGCAACGCTCGCTAGAGGCGACCATTTAAGCAGCGTTCTATCATTTCATCATGCACGAGCCATGCTCCAATTCAAGGTTTCGTCGACGTGCGGTGAAAAGCAACCGAGAGTACTAACAAAATCAGCAAAATAGATACACAATCCTTTCAGGTCTTGTTTTTTTTTTGCATGATATCCGCGAGCAAAGTGCGTGGGCGTCATGACGCACAATTTAAGCGCGACCTACGAATATGTGTGTTGGCAAGCCAGGCGCATTGCAAAACTTGAGAGCTACTTACTTGCCTTTCGAAGCTAAATGACTGTACGTCACTAGAACATAATTGGACAAACTGAACGTTAGTTGAACACCCGATTACTTTCAACCAAACGCCTCCCAAATTTTAACCTGCGAAGGTATCTTCTCCGTATGAAGCCATGGTGGTAACCACGACGCTTGCACAATTACAGAGCTATTGGGCCGCTTTTACGGTTACCAATATCTTTATATACTGCCAACACGCGCAAGCGAACAAATCAAGCCAGATCGAGCAAAACAGTTAGCGTGGGACGGTAAGCTTAAACCAGTCCCGCTACAAAAGAAAAGTGCTTCTGGAAGCGCATACTTGCGACAGTTGTTTGTTGCAAACTAAGTCTGTTGAGTAGGCCATATTCCTCTAAGCACCTCCGTGAACACAGAACAACTGACACTCATAAATATTAACGAGCTCAACAAGCTACGCTCGCTGAGCACGCCGGAAACGCCGGCAGCCATGTTTGTTTTCGTTTGAAACGGAAGCGATAGAGCAATCAATAATTGCTCTATCGAGCTTTTTTCTTTCTCGAACATAAAACTGTTGGCGAAGAAAATAATATTGCGGCACGGAGAAACAATTTCACAACGACCATTTCATACGTCAACCATTTCTCCATACCAATGAGGGCCGAAAACTGGTGCTTATACTAAGCACCTTTTTCGTTATGACCGGGGCCTAAAACAAAACTACCACACTCCCCCCCCCCCCCCCCCCCCCCACCCCCTCTTAGATTACTTCTGACAACGTGAATATTGCACCGTTCTTTTCGTAGCAAAAAAAAAGTGCCCAAATTGTGCCCTTAAAAAGCTTTTTCTTAAAATTTCAGTTCCTTTTATGCAGCGGAGGTTCAAGATAGGTACTGGTGGATAGTATCGCAAATATGTTTAGGGTGGTGCTCACGATTTGGCTTTTGAGACAAGTTCGGGGTGCACATATAGCTGTACTCTGGGGAACAGCTAGGTGTGCACCGCGAAAGAGTGTTATTGGAACATGGAGGCGCTTGTACGCCGTCCTCCTAACTTGGACTCTGAAATATGTTTACGGCGATAGCTGGATTGAGCTATCGCTGTAAAAAACTGCAAGGTGCATGACATCTGTCAAGGCATTAGGGTCTTATAAGATGTCGTAGTGATCGCTGTGACAGTACTGTGGATTTATACAGGACCTGTAAATTCGTAGGTCACTGATAATAACCTGAACACGAACATGCAGCTCATAGGGAACTTCCCATTAACGAAGTAGTACTCACGTTGAAAATATAGCCTTTTAAGATACCCACATACTTGCTCATCTCTGCTCCTATAATCCAGACTCATGAATTATTTAAATGGCAACAGTATGAAAAGCCTGGCATGGCAACTTTCGGAGTTCTCACCGTCCTAATTATTTATTGAGCCCTCGAGAATTTCTTTGAGCACCCTCAAATGTAAAATGGTTATTTTTTTTTTTACGAGCGCTGACAAAGACTATGTGAGATATTTAGCAACATCAATGCTTATGCTTTGCGGTTTTGTCAGTCAAGGCAAAACATGTCAACACATTTAACCTAATGTTCCCGAAGTTACCCCTTGTTTGAACATGCAACTCGACGCGCGTTTGTCTGACTTGAGCGTGTAGAATAACGTACAAGGAATAGTCAGTCTGATTACAATATTTACCCATAAGGCACATGATTGGCATCATTGCAAACACAAGAAACCATTTTGTTGGAATCATGGCGTTCATAACTGAAACAGAGCACACGCCTTCTCAAGCTTTTATAAATGAGTAAGAGTTAAAGTAAACAAAATAAAAGAATACGTGTTAAGCACCTGTAACCTGTGTTTCTTATATTTTCTTTCCTTTGAAATTCAATCACAAAGAACATGCGAACGTAAGTTCCTTGAGTGACGTATTTTCGGTTGTTGAACTTTGATCGTTGACGCTTCCGGCTCTGGAAACTTCCACGATCAAAGTTCAACAAACGCCAATACTTCGCATGTTTAACAAAAAGAACTTATATGCACATGCTGTTTATGATTACAATGAACTAAACTATCTCCTATAGTCTCCGACGGCTAAAGAAACGCAGGGGACGTGACTTATTACGTTCGTACTTGTTGCTTCGTAATTCTTCTTTGACGATTTTATCGGCTAATGCTGTAATCTCATTGGCTGCAGAACGATAATAAGATGCGCAGAACACGCCACGCCCTAGGTTAATTAAGCAATCGGTAACCATATGTTCGGAAATAAAAAACGAGGCTCAAAACGTTTACTTCTGATCCTTGCTACAAATCTTACTTACTTAGGACGACCAGCTGTTCTTAGACGGCGCTTTTTTTCCTGGCCATCTAGGTTTTAGGAACACCAATATCTTAAAATCGTTTAGAGACAAAATATCTATGGATTTAGACAAAATACATTAAAAAAAATGTCAAGGTGCTTGCATAAATTTATTTCTGATCAGCAAAACTTTCAGAAATGTGTAAGCCATTGAAGTACTACGAAACTTCTAATCCTTGTTTTCTAGGCATTGATATTGCTCGTTTTTCTCCCGTTTCAAAAACTTGTGTTTCTATGTTTCTTAGCGCTCTATGGCGTAACTTTCAGAACTGAACAGCAAATATTGAGTGTAGGCTGCAATGCTGAATGCTGATTTCGTAAAGCTTTCATACACAATGCTGTATAATTCTTGGCAATTAAAAAAACTGTGCCAACCTTTGTTTCTCTTCTTCAGTGATTCTTTTCGTCATTCTTTTCCAGCTCGCTTGCACCTTTGTATTAATTTTATTATCATTATAACCTTAAAATTCAGGCCGTTTTCCTTGTTGGTTTTAGACTGGTGGCACCTGATAAAACCGTTTTGCTCTACTGACGTCTAACTCCTGGCTAGCTCAGTCGGTAGAGCGCCCCACTGGAAATGAAGAAGTCCCTGGTTCGATATCAGGACCAGGAAGATATCTTCGGTCGCGCACCAGTCACCCAGCTGTGTTTGGAGATTTGTGTTTGTCCTTTGTCCCTCTTGTTCCCCTTCTCCAGTGATTATTTTCGTCATTCTTGTCCAGCTCGCTTGCACCTTTACACTAATTACATTATCATCACAACGCCAACGTTCAACTTTTTCAACCGTATTCAAAATGACGAAACGCTAGACACAGGTAATAGCCTGTTTTAAGTGTAAACGAAAAGTAGACGTGTTAGAACAAACTGCATTATCACTACTGATGTGGGCCCATAGATGTAATGATTTAAACAGGTCGGCTTTAGAGTTAGTCACTGTCGTGTCGTAATTTCCGTAGTAAAGGGCGACATGGCTGTTTGAAACATAGAAACAGAATTTATACTGTTTACAGCAGAAAAGGACAAACCATATTCGCTCTGAAAGGATACAGAAAAAAAAAAAAAAACGCGTCTTGAAGTGAGGACGTGAAATAGCAGTATAAGGCTGTAAATAGAATCACAGAAAGTAACTTCACTGAGAACACTTATCACTTAACTGATTAAGGGGTACACGGTAGTGGGTGAGGTGCCGGCGTGCTGAAGGACGAGATCGAACCGGAGGCGACTTGGGTTGTGGAGACTTCTAGGTGCAATACCACCTCGCAGATAAGAGCCCGTGCATGACGTTGTCGTTTGTAGACCTCCGACTCGCCCTAAGCGGCAAACATGCCGAAGCTCGAAAAGAGTCCCCAAAATACTGCAGAGCCACGTCCGTCTTGGAAATGCCGATAGCTAGCGTCGCTTTCGTTCTGAGGCTCTGGGAAACGCGATGACGGTGATACTGACGCAAGCTTGGCTGCGCTGCGTGCATCTACTAATGACGTTTGGGAAAATAAGGTGCGCGCCTTGTCTTTTATGTGGTATTCCTTGAGGTGGGGTGGAGGAGCGTGGCCGACTTGCTAGAACAGCGTCCCAGCTGAGACCGGGGCCGTGATCCAAAATTTACTCGATGCGACTCCGGAGTAAAGGTTTCGTACCGTGGCGTTTCGAAACTTACTCCCGCTTACTCAATGACGTCAAAACACGTGATCCAGAAGCGGGTTGTTTACTCCAGAGTAATTACTCGGGCTACCTTTCTCGATCGGGGGGTAACGCCGGATTGAACCGAGTAAATATGTAACGTGATCTTTGTCATCTGCTTTCTGCGTCCGCAGCCGTCGGAAGCTCGCTTGCTCCTTTGGCTTTGGTGGCAGACGTTCGAAATGACAAAGAATAAGGGGCAACCGTTTATGTATGGTTATGGCGAGTTGCTATCTTCAACGCACAAATTGACTGTACCACATCCAGACCATACACCTTCCCCGGGAAGATAAACTTGTTGTTATTATCAGGGTGCGAGCGTAAACAGGAGCTTCCCCGCATCTTCGTCCTCGGCATTGAAGGGAATGCCGTATTCTCACCTTAAAGGCTGAAACTGTTCAAATACAGGATGGTTTGCCAAAATTTGTGGATTAAGACAATAATTACAGGAGGACACTTCAGACTGCTTACGTGAAGGAATGCGAGAGCATTCCAACACCCGGCGGATTCCTAGAAGCAGGGCGCCACGCCTTCCTATGGCACATGGTGCTCCTGCGGTGACATCATTCTCCCCCACTGCACAGGCGCGGAGAACTCCGCGGCTCCACGGCTTCCGTGAAGATGCATCTGCGTTGCTGTGCTCCTTTTTTTTTTCTTGAGGCGCATCTGTTTTGACTTTCAGCGCTCCACCGACTTCCGCGGCGAATCATCTGATATGACGCGTCGCAGCCACTTTAACTGCTGTTTCTTTAGATGCCTGTTTTTCGCGCTAAGGGCCAACGCCGGCTGCGCTTCATGGGTACAATTAATGCTGTCGCATTAATAAGTAGTTCATAATTAGGGGTTTTTAATGTAATATTGGGCAGCACAAAATACACATTTTTAAACTGGCAGAAAGCTCTCTCGGTATGTGAATCTAAAGTAATCGAAGAAGTAACGGTTACTTTTCCAACTAATGGTCAATTACTTTTCGACTTCAGGAATCAAGTAATCTACGCTCCATGTCACCTCAAGAACCTCAGTAAAAAAAGTCCGGCTCATGGCGGAGCATTACTTATTTCCCTCTTTATGCGTGTGGGCACGGCGACTCCACCAGGACTATGCGCCTAAACAACCCTTTCGCTCTTTTCATCCAGGTAAGAGACGGACGTTACGAACAGTGCGATAGTAGCAATGATGTTTGTCTGTTCGAGTTGCCGTGCCCACGGCCATTGTACGATGTTATTCGCCTTTGTAGGAGTGTATTTAGTATGCTTCTCATGTTGAGCGGTGACGTCGAGTGTCCTGGACCCGATATGGCTCAGCTTATGAAACAGCTGCTGATAATCGCCAGAGACGTTAAAGATATAAAAGAAGGGAAGGCTGTGGCGGACTCACTAATTGCAGAAACAAACGGGAGTCTGACCACAATTGAACAAAGAGTGGACAGCCTGACCGAGCTGACAGGAACTGTGACTGCCTTCCAGGATAAGATCTTGTCTCTTGAAAGGAATGTCGACTTTCTAATGGCTAAAATTGATGACTTAGAAAACCGGAGCAGACGTAATAATTTGATTGTGTACGGAATTCACGAAACAACGGATGATGATAGCACCTTTCTTGAAAACCTTGTGAAGAAAGATGGGTTTGAAAGTATCCTGAAAGTTCAAACTGCTGGAATAGAAAGAATAGATCGACTGGGCAGGAAAAGTCCAAACAAAACCAGGCCAATCATTCTTAAACTACTCGATGGTAGGGACAAAACTAAAATTTTGAGCAGTTGCCGGCTGTTGAAGGGTTCGGCATATAGCATTTCGGAAGATTTTTCCCCCCGAATGCAACAAATTCGAAAAAAAGCTATGGGAAAGTGCCAAAGACCTACAAAAAAATGGCGATAAAGTTATCTTATCTTTCGACATAATAAAAATAAATGGCAAGGCTTTTCGCTGCTATGACAGTGCGAACGAAAGAGTGCCACTACAAGAGTGCCACTAAACTATACCAGGCACGTAGATACTAATTGACTACGGGCCAGTACCCCCCCAGTTCTAGACCGGTTTCCGTCAACTGCTCCCGAAAATAATCCTTGTACTGTAACTAACAATCCCCGCACTGTAGCTAATAAACCGCTTAGATTAATTAACTTAAACGCTAGAAGCATTGTAAATAAAACGGTTGAATTCGAAGATATAATTCTCAGTTATGACCCCGATATAATAATAGTTACTGAGACTTGGCTCACAGATAGTATATCTGATATGGAGATTGTTCCGCAGTCTTATAAAATTGTTCGTAAGGACCGTTCCTCCCGGGGAGGGGGGGTCGCAATCGTTATAAAAAATAGCATCGATTTTTTCCAGCTAAATACGAAGTTCACAGCTGAGGCTCTATGGGTGAAACTTTTTTTCTGTAACTCATTTCTTTTTGTTGGAGCTGTTTACAGGCCACCAAGTGCTGGCACAGCTGTGATGTATGAACTTCAAGACTTGTTACAAGAGCAATCTAAGAGTTTCATGAATATAATTATGGGGGGTGACTTCAATCTCCCAAACATCGATTGGCCTTCGATGACCACAGTGGCCTCTTGTAAACATTCAGATGCTTTAATTGATATTGCCTTTGCATATAACCTAACACAAATAGTGTCAAGTCCCACTCGCATCACAGATTCTACTAGTTCGATCCTTGATCTTGTTTTTGTTTCTCAGAATTGGTATGTTGCCGATGATCACTGTGTGGTCACA